GCAATGCAAATGTGAGGAATGACCTTAAGTTTATAAAATAAGCTTAGTTAATGTATCGATTCAAAAGAAACATCAACATACTCTGGCATTTGACTGGTTGATGTGCTCTGGAGATTCGTGGTTGAGATTGGGATGGAGAATTTGGCACCATATGGGAGGGGTAGGGGGGATTTGTCTCAAAATCGTCGTGAACAAGAGGACATCAGGAGACAACACTATTCTTTGTAATGATGTGGCCTTGGAAGGGTTTGTGTTGGTTTTTGGAGGTAGGCATACATGTATATAAACATGCAGTCGTGCCTTTAAAATTTAATCACTTTTATGCTTGGGACAGTAAGTGTTCAAGGTGTGTGTTTCAGGGTGAGTTTTTTTTTCTGTTACTCATGTGGGTATGTCCTTGGCAGCAGCGGGGGGAGGGAGGGTCAGCTTTTGATCACCCAGTATATTACCGGTAGCTGAAGGTGGGACATTTTAATGCTGTTTTTAGCCTGGGGGATAGGAATTTGATCATCTGAAAATTCAGAATGTGTAATTTCCAGTTGGAACTTACCCTGGGTGGGAGATATTGAAGTCTCAGATTGACTGATATGTAATGGTAGTATTGATAAGGTGGCTTAATGATGATCAATCTTCTGTGGAAATTGAGCTAGTATGTTAAATATTTCTTTCAATCTGATTACTTATAATTTTTGAAGAAAGGGTTTTTACCCAGAAAGATTGTGAAATACAAATTACATGTATACATAATTATTATGCTGAACATCAAAATACATGTTTACTTATTTCTGATAAAGCCGCAACAATGTAAATAGTTATATATAAAAATCATGATTATTGTACATGACATTGCCTGAACATTATGAGAATTCATCTATTGATTATATATGTTATTTTTAATGTCTATTAATTTGCATATGGTAGCCTCCTAAACCAGCTGCTAAAGGAAAGAAGAGCCCCAAATTATCAAAAGCAGAGAAGGAAAAATTGAAAAAAGAAGAAGCAGAGAAGAAGGCAAGGGAAGAGGGTGAGCTCAAGAAGTTCTTCCTTTGTTTGTTGAATTCAAGTCATTAAGTTTAATTTAGTATGCAATACTCTTCTTGTGCTTCTCATAATCAGTGCAAAACATAGCTGACAACAGCTTAGAGGACTTAACTTGAATGAAGCTATTTTGATTTGTTTTAGAGGAGGCTAGGCTTCAAGCTGAACAGGAACAAAGGGAACGAGAAGAAAGAGAGAGGCAGGAAAGAGAAGAAAGGGAAAGACTTAGACAGCAGGTTAGAACTTGTCAATCCATAGACAACCCTCTTGTTTGTTTTGTTGTTTTTTTTACAAGATCATTCAAGTCCCTGAGAACCTTGTTGATCTTTACAGGTCTGGCCACAGTCATTCAAGGCTGGATAAATTAGTTTCCCCTGATCTTGAGAGTCACTCTCCCAAATGATGAGTGCTGTCAAAATTTAGTTTCCAAAACTGCTGTAGTGCAAAAAATTGTAATTATATATTTGATATTTAAAGTTTAAGATCTTGTTGTAGGAGAGTGCAAGGCACCAGGCTGAGGTAGATGAACTCAAAGAAAAGATTGAAAATAATACACAGCAGCTTAAAAGTCTAGTGGAGAGTGAGCGTGCAAAGGCCAAGGTTGGTTGCAGTGAAATTTATTTTCCTCAATATTGTTACAAGTACAGTCAACTCCCAATAACTCGAACCCTCGCTAACTCAAACCTCGCGCTAACTTGAACCAAAATTGATTTCCCCTGGATTTCCATCATACATTTACTGTAATTTTACCCTCAGTAACTCAAACCCTCAATAACTTGAACCTTCTGCTAACTCAAAGCAATTTTCGTTTCCCTTCAAGTCATTTTCTATATAATTTTACCCTTGATAACTCGAACTATGTCTGTCAATGGGTAACAAGTCAAAACAAACAGTGTACTGTAGTCCAAAACATTAGATTTATTTTGAAGCAGCCCTGTGAAAAAGCGGTACAGTTTACAGTTCATAGACTTATCCCTGCTGCTTTCCTTTGTTATATTTTTCACATTTACTTTTTGTTCCGATTTATACAGTAGTTTAGAGATGAATTGTTTTAATTTCACTCGACTTCTCTATTCAATAATTAAATGTGATTAAAATGTACACTGCATGAATAGAAAAACATTAAACACCATTTTTTCCTTATTTTTGGTCATTTGTTCTCAATTCCTGATAACTTGAACTCCCAATAACTTGAACCTTTGTCAATTTCCCTGGAAGGTGCGAGTTATTGGGAGTCGACTGTATATAATTTATGGAGAATAGAAAGGTTCATCAAGCAGTATAAGAAAATTATCAATGATGATGTTTATACATACCAAATTTTTTTATCTAAGTATTAAAGTCAAGTAGGAGCCATTGTGTGCTAGCCTAAAAAAAAACTAGTAAGTTTCCACTGTGAAGCCTTGGAGCCAATGACTCATAGCTGCCAGAGCTTATCCCGGTTTCTGTAGCATGAAGCAGCTAAGAGTATTTCTACTCCCCCTGGACGGGATGCTAGTCCATCGCAGGTCACTTCCCCTGCATTTGTTAGGTTTCCCCAACAATTCGCCAGTACCCATTTATACTCCTGGGTGGAGAGAGGCACTGTGAGAGTTAAGTGTCTTGTCCAAGAACACAACACTGTCTCCCTGACCAGTGCTCGAACCCGGACCGCTCGCTCTGGGGACAAGCGCACTAACCATGAGGCCACCGTGCCTCCCAAGTTTCCCCTAGCTAACCTTATTTTATCTACCAAAACCTAAAGTCGGTGGCATATGCTAGATCAATGACATAATGTCATACCATTTGACAGACAGTCCATTAGCCCTAGGGCATCAGATAGAATCTGGTGAATGATTTCTCGATTTTCACATACTGTGCCCAAAAGTTGCACATGTTATGGTCCTGCAATCATTTGACCTGCCGATACTCCTGTTCAACCCAGTGACTGTATGCTAGGGAGATGGAGTTGCTTGTCATGGCAAACACTGGGGAGGTGTCCCCAAACACCCCTTAGACCTGATTGTTTTTTGTGTTTCTCTCTCTACATATCTGTGATCATGTTATTTAGTCAATGCGTTTCAAGGCAACTTTGTACCAGGTCTAAAAAAATTCCATGCAGTTTTACTTTCTACTCGTTTTGGGGGCCCGTAGGAGGAATCAGGAGCAACTAATTTCATCTATGGATACCAGCCTATTTGCTGAGTGGGCTACCCTCAGCTGGTAAAATAACTGGACATTATGTTTATGTTTGCAGTGGGAAAGGTACATGCTCTGTGATGGAAACCCTGATCCACTCAACACACGTGAGCTCAGCACTTACATGAACCTCTGGCGAGATGATAAAGAATACAAGTCCGTTCCAGTTGTACTCAGTGAAAGTGAAGGAACTTTGAAGGTATTTGAAATGTTCAAATTTTTCTTTCTTATTGTATACACTCACCTTCCAAGTGTTTTATTTGGTTTTCTTACTGAAGTGAATAATTTAATATCATATTTTTACTCTCTCATTTTGTACTTTTATTGTTTCAATTATTCCATCTACAAAACTAGACATAGCATCAGTGGAAATCAGAAATCTTTTTTTCAAAATATAATTGGATGATTATAAATTCTATTTATTAAATTGTAGTTTTTGTTGTTATAGTCTGAAGATGATTTTATTAATTAGTTATTTATTGTACTTAATATATATTTACAGCTTATTGGAGAGCTGGAGAATTTTATATCCATTTCAGAAGAAGAAGGATTCACAGAAGATGAGGTTCAAAGGCTTAAACAGGTACAATTGTTCTTGGTATCATCAGTTTGAATTTAACGGTCTGAAACATGTAAGCAATGCCTAACTTTTGCCCGCCCATTTACAGAGAATGGATTGGATGTGTAGCAGCCCCATTTAATTCTTTGTTATTTTTTCCGTTTGTACGTGCATTCTTTCTGTGATCATCGCATTCTTTTTGTTTATCTCGCTTTCACGTTATCGATATTCTGTTAGGTTTTTTCACATAATTTTGTCCCCTTTTGTATGCCTTTTTCTAGTTTATTTGTGCATTTTCATTGCGACGCTACTGCCATCTCGTTTCATTTACCGCCCTGCCGCTTTCCTTTTACGTGTTCCTTACCTTCCTAGTCATACAACGTTTGTAAATATTGTGTACCTTTGGTTCGTTATTCTTGTTTCTTTTATTGTAACTTCGCCTGTAACTTGTAATTTATTTTGTTTGTAGCAACCGCTCCCTTTTCATCGCTTTCTTCGCCCTCCATCATTTAATTGCACATTTCATCTTATCGATTTAAACCAAGTAGCGTGTTGAACGTTTGACTACAATAGTATGATTGAATTAATTCATCAGCAGAATTGTAATGTCAAATACTTTATTGAACTAGCTTGTTAGGTCAACTTATTGGAGAGTGTTGGTCTTCTTCTTTTAATGCATTCCAGAGTTTATGGACTAACTACCAATAATA